GTTGGGCCCCAGGGGAGATGGGGAAGGACAGCAGCCCACCCCACAGCCCCAAGGGAAGGTAATGACTCCTGAAGCTACATTAGCTGTTCCATGAGAGCATTGTGGCAGCCCTTGGGAGAGGAGGACAAAGGTCTGGGGGGAAGACATGGCAGCTCCATTGGAGTGGTCCCTGGTGCACGGGGAGAGACACAGGGTTCCAGCACAGATGACCATGAACATCCAGCAGGTTTCCACCCTTCCCGCCCCCACCCAATATCCCCAGCTATGGGAATGGGAGGATGAGCCCCGTGCTCATTCCCCTGTGCGGAGGGGCAAGCCTCAACATGGGGTGATCTGAGGAAATCTCCAGGAGGGAAACCTCACAGGCTTTTGTCCCTACCCCAACCCCTCTCTCCTGGGTCGGTCTGGGTCTGGACAGGCAATGTATTCTGCACCCCCAAGCCTTCCCCCTCTCTGCTAGGGTTGCCAAGCCTGTATTTGGTAAGCTTCTGCTTCCGCATTGCATGCTCCCCAAGGGCAAGGTGTGGGGTTTGTATGACAGCTCTTCACACAGGGCAACAAGTCAAAAACCGGAGGAACCTCCTCCAAGGAAGTGGAGAGGGTAAAGAGGTTGGTGCAGAAAATCAGGCAATTTCCCCCCCAGACACACAACAACTTCTCCCATTGCCTTTATAAAGCTGTTCAGTCTTTCACGAGCGATGGAAACCCATGGTGGTGCTTAAAATGACAGATGGAAACAGGGCCAGGCCATCGGGAGCAGAGACGTGTCCAGGGAATGTTTAGGGCCTTCACTAGGAGCTAGACAATTTCAGACACCGCCCAATCAGCCTGTAGAACTCGTTACCACAACATATCATTAGCAAGATTCAACAGAGAGTTAACCAATGAGAAAATGCAGCATTAGAACAGTAAGTATTTTTAAAATCCTAGCAATTCTTTGGCAGGGATATAAGCCAACCTCTACCTACTGGTGATTAGGAGAAGACTTTCCTGGGGATAGGTTATTCCATAACTCCCTGCTGCAAGGGTACTTGCACCTTCCTCTGAAGCCCTGGTCCTGGGCATTGTCAGAGACTAGATGGGAACTGCCACACTGGATCAGACCAATGATCCTGCATTGTCCTGGAAGAAGAGGTGTTCTTTGTTCTGATGCCGAAAGGCCAAAGTACACGCTGATCTTGTGCCAAAATCCTTACTCACAGAAGCACTGCCAAGGGAACAGATTTGATTCACAGCTACAACGTAGAAATCTGGAAGAAGTGGGCTAGGAGCCTTCCTCACACTGTGTAGCCGCGCGGATGCAAACCCCTAATGTCGACTCTGGCTTTTGCAAATCACGATTTACACTGTAACGTGTCTATGCCAGGAGTCTGCACCCATGAAAGGCCTGGTTCTCCGTTGCTATGCACCCTGTTTTGTCATTTACTCCCGTGCAAAGCAAATGCAAAAAGGCTACCAACCAGTCATCCTGGAAGGCACGTTTTGTATCCAATCTGTAAGCATGCAAGAGACTAAGCTAGTCTCAAGGTAACAGGATTCACACCAGTCTGACTGGAGAGCAGATGGACACACCTGCTCATCTGAATAGCAGCTTGGCAAGATGGGGCCTTTACACTGCATGCCCTCTGGGGCATGGCCCTGGGTCTCTAAAGCACCATGAGCACCTACCAGACTATAATCAATCTCAGATAACAAATGGTCATAGCTCAGAATAATGAAACCCAAGGAAGGAGGCTCCAACTGATAACGCAGCAGTGCTAGGGACTGGCAGGCAACATCCTGCAGAAGCAAAACACACAAGGGCTACAAATCATGGGCATTATTTCTACAGGGGAGGATTATTTTCTGAATGAACGGGCCATGAGTGGATTGCAGACTCATTGCAACTGGGGCTGCCTTTGTGTTCTGTTTGTGCAGCGCCTCGCGCAAGGGGTCCTGGTACACAACTAGGAGTCCTAGGTGCCACTGCAATGCAAATAATGAATAATGGAACCCCCTTGGGGTTTGGAGAGCCTGGCCCCTTTAAAACCTTGTCCTGAGGCAGAGGAAGGGCTGGCTGTGCCAGGGGTGTGGAGAGGGAGAGGACAGGGTGTGTGTGATGGTAGCCCCAAAATTGAGGCCTACAGCAAGTAGTCCCTCACATAGTGAAGCAGCTGAAAACAAGCTTGGGAGGGACACAGCAGGCAGAGCCAGGAGGAGCACCGTGCCAGGGAGAAAACAAACTGGAGCCGGACCCAGTATCACTGTTGCCCAGAGCTGTCTGGGGCCGTGAGCAATGGGGCTCGTGACCTTGCATTGGGAATAAGGAGGGATGCGGTGGCTGGCTAAGTGGGGCGGAGGGGGCTCTGTGTGGGTTTGCAGAGAGCGGCCGAAGGGGGCACCAGGGGGGTTTGTTGGGGAAAGTCCACGGGCACCGAAAAGGGCCGGGAGCACCAAGACTCAGCGCCAGAGTGGAACCTTGCCCAGGACGCCAGTACTCTGAGTGTAGATGCATTGCTCAGCATCTGCCCTGTCAGACTGTGGTACCGCTGGGCCTGGGGGGCGGGGGGACCTTGTGCTGGCTGCACCCCAGCTGTTTCTCTCCAGCCGTCCCTCTGTAACTAAATATTTCCCTTTCCCATAGTCAGTGTACTATACCGGCGGGGGAGGGGCGGGTGTTCACTGCAGGGGTGTGTATGTATAACAGGTGCCCCTGGGGCAGAAGGAGCTTTTCCTTGCTGTGTCCCTGTGCCTGCCTTTTCTAAGAACAGAATCGTAGAAGATTACGGTTGGAAGAGACCTCAGGAGGTCATCTAGTCCAACTCCCTGTTCAACCCCAACTAAATCAACCCAGCCAGGGCTGGGTCAAGCTGGATCTTAAAAACCTCTAAGGATGGAGATTCCACCACCTCCCTAGGGAACCCATTCCAGTGCTTCACCCCCCTCCTAGGGAAATAGTGTTTCCTAATATCCAACCTAGACCTCCCCCACCGCAACTTGAGACCATTGCTCCTTGTTCGGCCACCTGCCACCACTGAGAACAGCCGAGCTCCATCCTCTTTGGAACCCCCCTTCGGGTAGGTGAAGGCTGCTATCAAATCTCCCCTCACTCTTCTCTTCTGCAGACTAAATGACTCCAGTTCCCTCAGCCTCTCCTTGTAAATCATGTGCCCCAGCCCCCTGATCATTTCAGTTGCCTTCCACTGGACTGTCTCCAATTTGTCCACATCCCTTCTGTAGTGCGGGGCCCAAACCTGGATGCAATACTCCAGATGTGGCCTCACCAGTGCCCAATAGAGGGGAATGATCACGCCCCTCGATCTGCGGGCAACGCTCCTCCTAATACCAATTCTTGGCCGGAGCTTCTCTCTTGCCATCATCGTTTCCAGGTGGGTTGTGCCACCCGCGGTGCCCGTTTCCCCAGGGCGCTCCCTGAGCCGCACAGGGGATGCCCCCGCGTTCACCCCCCCCCCCAGCCCGTTTATCCTGCCATGGACGGGCCAGGCGTGGCTCCCCTGCCCGGCCTTACCTGTCTCCGGCACAGGTGCTGCACCAGGCGCCCGGGGCTGCTGCCCACCACGTGCAGGCGGCAGAGCAGCAGGGCGCAGACGAAGCCGTGGCGGGGGCTCACGAACCGCTGCTCCAGGTAGAAGGCGCGGGCGTCCCAGCCCAGCAGGCGGGTGCGCACGGCGAAGCGCTCGAAGAGGCGCAGCGGGCGGCGGTGGCGGGCGCACGAGGCGGCCAGCACCAGGCTGCCCCCCAGGGCGCGCAGCGCGTCGAAGATCCCGCAGCGCGCCAGGTGGGCGCAGCGCGCCAGGTCGGCCTCGCGCAGGTAGCGGGCGTTGTTCATGTGCAGCAGCCAGTCCAGGTCCGAGGGCAGCACCAGGCCCGGCCAGCTCTGCTCCTGCAGCACGTCCCGCTGCCGGGGCTGCAGCCACCGGGCGTGCAGCACGGCCAGGGGCAGGCGCAGCAGGTACCAGGCGTCCAGCAGGCAGAACAGCGCGGCCCCCGCGCCCAGCAGCAGCAGCAGCATCGCGGCAGGGGGGATGCCCGGGCGCCGCAGCCTACCGCATCCCGGCAGCATCCATGCAGCCGGGAAGGGGAGGGACCGAGCGGCTGCCCGCCCCCGCCCTTTGTTCCGGCTCCGAGCCGCGGCTGCTTCCTCCCCTTCCTGCTGCAAGGGCCCCTTCAGTCCGCCGCCGAGCACCGCCCCTTTGCCCGGGACCCGGGAGCACTGTGGGCCCGCACTGGAGCAGGCATCTCTCCCCACCCGTCCCTTCCTCCTGACTGCGGCAGGCCGCCCCAGCGCCTCAGTGCGCGAGGAATGTTCTCCCCTCCCTGGCGAGCGCACTGCAAGGCTGGGCTCCGTGTAGCCCCCTGCCCCGGTGGGTGCAGCCTTGGCACCCGCCCTACCCCCCTTATTGCCACGCCGGCTCCCTCCCCAGTCCTCTCCCAGCCTCGCTCAGAAGCGGAGGTGCCTGGGGATTCTGCAGGAGCCGCTCCCCTCTCCTTGGATCTCCAGAGGCAGCGTGCGGGCTAGAGCCGACCCCGTCTGGGGACATGAGTCAGAGCCTTCAGGCATGTCTACACTTGCCATTTAAAGTGGAAAAAGTCCCTTTTTGCCGCAAAAACCCCGGGAGCGTCTACACTTGCCAATGACTTTTTGCTGGGAAACTCAGAAGTGTCCCCGCAAAAAGAAAACCCCCCTCCCCGAGAGGCGCACGGTTCTTACCGGTGATGCTTTTGCGGCCATGTGCAAGTGAAGACACGTTCTGCCTGTTTACAGAGCTTTTAGCCTCCGCAGGATATCCCACCGTGCCTAGTGGCCACTCTGACCAGCTGCTCTGCTGCTCGGATGCCAGGTAAACAGACATCCGCCCCTCCCCCTGGAAAGCCCCGGAAACTTTGAAACTCCCCTTCCTGTTTTCTTGGCAAGTGCTCACTTATCATCTGGCCAGGTGACAATGGCTGCTCCAGGGCGCAAACGATCCCCTGCTTGGAGCAATGCTGAGCGGCTGGAGCTGATCAGTGTTTGGGGAGAGGGGGCTGTGCAGGGACCCAGGATGCCCCGTGATCACCCTCCCCCCCTTCCCACAAGACCTATCGTCAAAATGGAGAGAGCTGCACTGTGGGATTGTTGCTCTCAGTGCACTGCTGTCATCGGGGATGGAAGTGTTGCAAATGTAAACACTCTGATGCCTGAGGAAGCAGGTGAGTACACAAACCGGTGCTTTTCTTTCACCAGTTCACAATCAGTGGTGAAACTGACAGTGCAAAAACTCTGCAAGTGTAGACACCTTTCCAGGGCTTGCCCAGTGATTCTAGCTTCCTGAGCCAGGCTGTCTCTGCAGCGTGGCTGGCTGAGATTATAAAGCCAGAAGGGAGCCCTGGGATGGTGTCTGATCTGCTGTATTCACTTAGCTGGAATGTTTGGGCCAAAGATCTTAACATAACCCAACAGTGTTCAACAAGGGTTGGGGTTTGGTACACAGAGACCTCAGTCTGCTTAGTACCATGGCAAACCCACCACTGCATTTTTGTTTAACTTTTTTATTAAAGATACAGGAAAGAAGGAAAAAGTTCAAGCATTTGACATGGAAAGCATTAAGTCAGGCTTTTAACTACATCCCTTTTTCCTTTAGCGGGAGAGAGTTTTTAGAAGGAAAATCTCCCTTGTCTGACAGTCTTTTAGATGCTATTCAAGACATGATTTGGGGGGAAAAGAGATGGGCTGGGAGCTGTGGTTAAAATCCAATCCCATTTCCTAGAAAACAAAACAAGACAAACACACACAAAAGGGGAGAGAAAAGAACAGCAAAGAGAGACGATGTAGCTTCTGTCTCTGGTGGTAACTCTCACATGCAACCTCAATGCTGACAAACAGGCCCAGCACAGGGGCTAATCGATCGCTCTGAGACCTGGCAAACTCATGCCAGCATTGGGCTGTTTAGGGCAGTGCTTTTAGCCGCTTGTTTCCGGTCAGACGCTTTCAGATGTGCTGCAAAATATGCCGTCTCGGCTAGCTAAGCCAGAAGGAAAAAAGAGAAGGATAGAAACAAGAAGAAACAAGGCAGGGAAGGAAAAGCACAAGCTCTGTGGGAGGGCAGAGACAAAGTCTCACATCCCAGGTGCTGTTCAGGATTTAGTGGAAGCCAGTAGCGGTGGTAATGTCATCTGGCACCCTCTCTCTGGCCAGGACATCTTTCAGGAGATGTGGGGGTGGCAAAGTTCACACCAGTAGCCAGTTTTTCTCCCCTACATCTCTTTTTTAAGGACCCAAAAGTCAGTGATGGGTGGAATAGCCCCTCCCTATGTTATTTTGTCCACCAATTAGGCCTAATATCTGACATACCAATTTTGGTTTATTAATTTTTTCTCCTCAATTCCTCTAGTTTACCAGGCATGATCTTAACACAGCACCTGAGTTTTATTGGTCGGCCTTTTTGTTTGGACTAGTTCAGTCTTTTTGTGCCTTTTCTCAGCAACATTTGTTGTTGTTGTTGTGACATCTTCGAAACATTCACTTACTTTTTACAGCAGAGTTCACAATGAGGATGAATTTGTAGGCCCATTGATTACAACACACTTCCTGCCTAAGACAGGCCATAGGACTTCCCTGAATTTTTGAACTAAAGCAGATTTTTCAGGAAAAAGAATAAAAATCCAATCTTGATTGAAAAATTGCCAGTGATTCAGAATCAAGCACGACTCTTGGTAAATTGTTCCAATTACCCTCTGTAATTACCCCCCCCCCCGTTAAAAATTTGCACCTTATTGCCAAGTCTGAATTTGTCTAGCTTCAACTCCCAGCCATTGGATCTTGTTCGATCTTTGTCTGCTAGATTGAAATGCCCATTATCGAATTTGTATTCCCTATGGTCAGATTGTTGTTCCCCATTGGAGGGGGGCAGTCGGTCCCTGGGCAATGTGTTAGTACTGTACAGGAAGAGATTGCAGAGCTGGTGAATGTGAATTTGCTTGTTGGATCCTTCCACAGGCCTGCCAGCCTGAACAATAACCCCATTGGGAGTTCAGGGCTCCTGCCAGCTTCCCCCTTGTACAGACCATGGCAAACCACGTTACATGTTCAGACAATACAATGTGGAGAATTCAGCTCCGCTCATGTCGCCACTTCTGGCTTGGGATCTGCATCAAAAGACCAGAGAGAGAATGCTGAACTCCAGTCTTTACAGCGTAGAATGGGAAAGGGGAATCGGGACCTTCTTTTAAAAAGAATAATGGTGAAGTTGGTCTGCTCTGGCATTCAGAGTTCAGACTCTCAGAGGTATGGGAAGGAAAGGGGCTTATCCGTTTGAAATGGAGGGGCAGCAGTAACCCGAGGACAAGACCTTGCTCTGCCTGAGACAGTGTGCCCTCTCTAATCGTAATAATCAGCGTTTTTCATCCCTAGATCTCAAAGCACTTTACAAAGCTGTGTCAACAAAGTTGTCTCCATGTTACTGTGACAGTGTACCCCATAAGGCTTTATGGGAGGGTGTTTATAAATGTATGTATGATGTAACTGAAATATGTTTTGTGCTGCCTGTGCCACGTAACATATCTCCATAAAGGTTATGGTCTACTATATGTATTCATCCTATTTGTACATATAGATCATTTTCTACTCGAGGTTAAGAATATGGGCTGTATGCTTGCTTGATTTCTAAGTAAGCTTTGTGAGGCATTTGGTCAGCTTCTTTAGGAAGGAATTCGCCAGGTTAAGTACCTGATCAGGAAACACTTGGGGAACAATGCATCTTGGAATGCTCCAATCCACATAAGAAGTCTTCCTGGAGACATGCAAGATACCATGTGGACAATGGCATCGGCCTGTAAAGACTGAGTCATGCAGTGGTATGTGACTTCCCAGGTGACTCCAAAACTCCATCTTGGAGCTGGACTTTGCATAGGAGGGAGGAGGGGGGTCTCCACCCACAAGAGAGAGTCTATTTAAACCTGTGGGAGACCCCTCCATTTTGTCTTCAGCTGGCTAAAGAAGGAGCCTCTCCACCCCCCCAGGATACTGGAAGGAGACTGAAACAAAGGACAGTAACTAGAGGGGGTGTGAGTGATTGCTGGACCCAGGCTAAAAGGAGATTAGCCTGTAAAAGGGAGCATTCTGGAACTGGTGAGGAAATTATCTGTATTTAGTTGATTAGACATAGATTTGCGCATTTTATTTTATTTTGCTTGGTGACTTACTTTGTTCTGTCTGTTACTACTTGGAACCACTTAAATCCTACTGCCTGTATTTAATAAAATCACTGTTTACTTATTAATTAACTCAGAGTATATGATAATACCTGGGGGAGCAAACAACTGTGCATCTCTCTCTATCAGTGTTATAGAGGGCGAACAATTTATGAGTGTGCCCTGCATAAGCTTTATACAGGGTAAATGGATTTATCTGGGTTTAGACCCCATTGGGAGTTGGGCATCTGAGTGCTAAAGACAAGCACACTTCTGTGAGCTGTTTTCAGATAAACCTGCAGCTTTGGGACAAGTGATTCAGACCCTGGGTCTTTGTTGGAGCAGACGGGAGTGTCTGGCTCAGCAAGACAGGGTGCTGGAGTCCTGAGCTGGCAGGGAAAACAGGAGCAGGGGTAGTCTTTGCACATTAGGTGGCAGCTCCCAAGGGGGTTTCTGTGATCCAACCCATCACAGTTACATCTGGGGAAACTGAGGCACGGAGCAACGAACCCATGACTTGAACAGGGTCGCACACGGAGTCAGTGGCAGAGCCATGATGAGAGGGCAAGTCCTCTGCCCTCGCCACAAGCTCGTGCTGTGCCCCCTTGTGGAACTCCAAACATATGGGCCTTAGACAGGCCAAGTACAAGGACCAACTAGAGGCAGCGTGCAGCAGAGGACAGAGCAGACATCTTGCTCATCAGGTTTCTGGTCAGTTTCCATGTGCCAGAGTTCCTGGGAGTGAAGCTGGACCTTATCCCACATGGGAAGGTAATTCAGAGGAAAGGCTAGTCAAAGTGAAACATTTATAACTGGAATTCAGGGCCTGCTGCCCAGACCTCCTTCCCTCATTTACGTGAGTCATCCTGTTGATTTCAGCGGCGTGGCTCACACGCCAAAGTCTTTGTCATGGGAATGAGAGCGGAGCAAAGTTCAAATTCTCGCCCCTAGACGGGACAGAGCTAGGAATCCCTGACAAGCCGTTTCCGAACTGGGTCTGGTTACGCTGGGTCTAGTTTTACTGCAGAGATGGGGCAAATGTGCCTTAGAAACATTTCTCAAACGTCCGGGGGCCAGATCCTCAGCAGAGGACATGCTTCAATGGACTATAAAGACTGGATCTGGCCCAGTAACACATTTCCCTTTTATTTTGGGGAGCGGGGGCGGGAGGCAGGTGTTTGAAGCCAATTGGGAACTTGTCTGGATTTTAGTGCAATTGAAAGTAAAGGCCTGAGACCACTAGTTCACATCAGGCAAAGGGCAGGCAGGTTCCCTACTAGCTGCACCTGCAGCTCTGCTACTGCGCCTCGTTTCTGATCTGCAACACCCCCCCCCCCCCGCCCCTTCCAACTCAGGGCCTCTCTCTTGAGCCAGGCAGTGGGATTTGCAGCCTAGAGGAACTCTCAGATGAGCCCTCAAGCTCCTTTCGCTCATTGTCCTAAGCAGCATTTGAAAACAGTCCTCCTGGGGTTCAAAATAAAAGCGTCCTGAGAAAATGGGAAATGGAAATTGACGCCCCCAGAGAACAGGGAATCACTACGTTAAGCTATTTATGGTACAGAAAGATTGCAGTGCTTGGGAGCTGCGAAGAAGAAATCAAATGGGGTTAAATGCTGGATCCCTGCACAAGAAAACGGGCTTTAGGTGAGACTGGGCTGGGGCACCCTGAATTTTCCCCTGCTGAAATGACACCAGCCCTGCATGGCCCTACATGGATGGATTGGCTGGTGAGTTTGTGTAGTTGCCATGGCCCTGTCCTGCTCTTTCCCCTCCCCCCAGCACAGAACAGTGCCCACCCCTGCACAGTCCCTGTTGCCTGACGACTCCTGCTATGCAGAACGGCCATGTCTCTTCCATGTCCCCATCCCTGGAGGGGTGCAACGGCAGGATGTAGTCAATGCCGAAGCAACATGTCCCCTTGATTAGCAGCTGGGAGCAGAGCATGGCCCGGGGTTTCAAAGCTGGGTGGGTTTAATCTCCAATGGTCCATTAAATTCCCGGCATTGATTGAAGAAGCCACAGTTAACTGGAGAAATATCTTCCTCAAGTGTCTAACAGTCCCACGTGCTGGGCAGCTTGGCCAGGAGGACTTCTGTCTGAGACCCCCACTGCACTACGGCATGACCCTCAGGAGGGTCCAGAGAGCGGCAGCTGTGATTGCCAAGGCATTGGCTGTCAGCCCTGGCACTCCGCCGGTATTGCACAGGTCGGTGTAACAACACGAGTCGGGGTGGGACTCCCCAATTCCATCCGGGTCGGAGGGCATGCACGTCTTAGCACAGGATTTGGAGACGGTGATGTTCCCGAAAAAGGGGTAACCTATAATGGATGGATTAGGAAAAAACGGGGAGAGAGAAATGGTGAAGGGAGGTTTATAGATATGATAACTTATGATAACTATCCTTACACCTCTTGTCAACTGTCTGTAATTGACCATCTTGATTATCACTAAAAGTTTTTTTCCTGCTGATAATAGGTCATCTTAATTAATTAGCCTCTTAGAGCTGGTATGGCATCTTCTCTGTATGTATATATATACTCTTGTTATATGTTCCATTCTATGCATCCGATGAAGTGGGCTGTAGCCCACGAAAGCTTATGCTCAAATAAATTTGCTCATCTCTAAGGTGCCACAAGTCCTCCTGTTCTTTTTACGGATACAGACTAACACGGCTGCTACTCTGAAACTTATAGATTTAGGTTCTCCTTTATGCTAAGACCACTTGACACGGTCTTGGAAGTAGAAAGGGGCCTTAAAAGGGTAAGCAAACTATATTCAAAGGAACCTGAGTGCAGGTGGAAAAAAGGCTCATTGGCTTTAATTAGTATCTGTAATCCAGTGGTACCCGCAATGTGCTAGGTGCTGTGTACGTGCATGTAAAGACACAGTCGCTGTGCCAAAGTTGCATGGAATTCAGACCTAGGCACCAGCTGGTATTTCTGTCCTCTCCAGGGGCCTGATTCTGAATGGATGCCAGTGTAAACTAAGGGAAAAGTCACTGCATATTGTGATGGGGAACAGCCGTATGAGCAGTATTTAGTCTCTCCGATAATGGCACAGGGCAGACTATCAGTTCAGAGCGTTCAGGAGACGCTACTGCAAAATTAGCACTGGCGTGTTATTCTCCTTTGTAAATGACCAGCGCCGGCCAAAGCTTCTGTGAAGGAAAGTGAACAAAGGGAGTCCAGATCCCCACCAAGAGAGGTAAGATTGCCTGATACGGAGATGAAGCAAAGTAAGCAGAGAGAGAGCCCAGATCCTGGTGATTTACCACTCGGGTAGAGTTAAATAGACTATTCTCCTTCTTCTGTACATTTGAATTTGGACTTCTCCATCCGGGTTCCTCAAAGACAGTGTAGGGGACAATGCCACACTGGCTGGGGAAGCGGGTAGGAGGGAAAGAGAGAAGAGGGTGCATGAGAAGTTATAACCGAGTTACATCAGGGATGCGTTTCCTTTGCCATGTTTACTGTATTTGCGGTGATTGGATGAGACTTACCAGAGTCTACAGAATGCACAGTTGTCTTGCACGCAGTGTCGTTCGCAGAGCAGTTGCTGATCGAGGTGCACTCAGAGAGATCTGTCGGTTCTCTGCAGGTGTAGCATCGCAAGGACTGGGCTGTCAAGAGGAACAAAATAGCATGCCTCTGAATAGATCTTAGCAGGTGCTGAGTGTGACGCTGCTTTTTTTGTCAGCTTTGGAGAACCTGCAATTGTTCTAAATGGCTGTTTAGAACTCCAGATTCCCTCCCTGCCAGGGTACGTTGCAATTGTAAGTCAGAGGTTCAAGTACCTTGATAACCAGCCATGTGCAGTGGCATTTGAACCCAGATCTTCAGAGCTAAAAGCATGAACCTCTACCACTTGAGCTACAAGACCAAGCTGTAGCTGGCTCATTAATTATTGTTATTATTTTATTTTGGAAGGATCTAAGATCCATAGTCTCCTAGTTTGGGTTCCGCAACTTGAAAAGTGCAGGGATCTAATATGAATCCCCTGCCTGGCGATCCTCATTACTTCCTTGTAGGATTGCCACCTCTGAGGTTATATCAGGTGCCTGCGTGGTCAGCATTTTTGCCAAGCAATATAGACACTTGTTCCTGTCACGCCTGTTTATATACGCGAGAGCCGGTGCTGGGAGCTGCTGTGCGTCCGTGCACAAAGAGCAAGCGTGTTCCAGCCGCCTGAAACGACTGGTTTTAGATTAAGAAAAGAACAAAAGGGATGTTTCCTCGTGAGCGTGGGTGTGTGTGTGTTCTGGAACAAACTGCTGCAGCACCAAGGGCAAAGTGGTTGCTGTCATTTCAAGGTGCTGTTCACAAGAAACAAAACGGATCTCAGTTATACCCCTACCATAGCAACCACTATCACTGAGCTCCAGCGTCCACTCCAAGGATCCCTTTCACTTGCTCAGAGGGTTCTCAAAAGAAATTCCTTTCGGGATGAATTTTTCTATGCACGTTCTCTCAGCTCAGAAGAGAATTTTACGTAGTTAGTTGTTTTTTAGACTAACTTGTTTCAGCCACCATCTGAGTTATATATGTGTGTGTGTGTCAAATGCACTGATGTAACTGAGATCAGAATATGGGCCAGTGAATTTCAGATTTACACCAGAGTGACTGAGGACAGAGTGAGGACATGCACTCATTAAGGCATTGCTGTATAAAACCCCTGATGATGTTACAGTTGTTTTGTAATATGCTAAGAGCAGCTGCTTGCACAGTCAAGACCTTTGACATATGGAAACCTTCTTTCCTATACATAATGACAGGTTTCAGGGTAGCAGCCGTGTTAGTCTGTATCCTCAAAAAGAACAGGAGTACTTGTGGCACCTTAGAGACATAGTCTCTAAGGTGCCACAAGTACTCCTGTTCTTCTTTCCTATGTGCCCTTTTTATAAACATCATCAGTCTAGTAGTTTTAAAACGCAACAAATGTTTCTACTGCCACCTCCTGGTGAAAATGTAGAAAAATGATTTTTGTTTCTAATGCTATATTACTTGGATCCATAAAAAGCGACAAAGCGTCCTGTGGCACCTTATAGACTAACAGACGTATTGGAGCATGAGCTTTCGTGGGTGACTACTCACTTCGTCAGACGCATGTAGTGGAAATTTTCAGAGGCAGGTATAAATATGCAGGCAAGAATTTTGTGGGTGACTACCCACTTCGTCAGATGCATGTAGTGGAAATTTCCAGAGGCAGGTATAACTATGCAGGCAAGAATCAGTCAGAGATGCCTGCATAGTTATACCTGCCTCTGGAAATTTCCACTACATGCGTCTGATGAAGTGGGTATTCACCCACGAAAGCTCATGCTCCAGTACGTCTGTTAGTCTATAAGGTGCCACAGGACTCTTTGTCGCTTTTTACAGATCCAGACTAACACGGCTCCCCCTCTGCTGCTTGGATCCAGGTGCTCTCTATCGACAATTCTCCATAGCCTCATACCTAGGGGAGTCATTTTGACTGGAATTTTCAAAGGACCCGAAGGCAATTAGCTATTCAGTGCCGATTGAATTTCAAGGGGAGCTGAGCACGTAGCTCCTTTGAAAATGCTAGCCTCGACCTGTGCAGAGGGAGGGCAGAGTATGAAATGGTCCCATTTTGATTTGCAGATGCTCTCCACCTACTTTGCACAGGTCAGAATGACAATATAAGGTGGAAGGCAGTGGTAAATTAGGCTCAGTGGGTCAGATCCCACCTCGCAGGTCCTAGAGTTCGGGCTCTAGCCTGAGCCGGAATATCTACATCACAATTAAACAGTCCTGTAGCCCAAGCCCCGTGAGCCCAAGTCAGCTGGCATGGGCCAGTCGCAGATTTCTAATTGCAGTGTAGACATATCCGTGCTCTACGGGGCTAAAAACAGCAGTGTAGATGTTCTCCCTTGGGCGAATCTCGGGCTCTGAGACCCACCCCCTTCTCCGGGTTTTGTAGCCCAAGCTCCAACCCAAGCGGGAACGTCTACACTGATCATTTTAGCCCCGGGTGCAAGTCCTGTGAGCCTGAGTCAGTTGGCCCAGGCTCTGAGACTCACTGATACGGCTTTAGATTTTTTTTGTTTTTGTTTTTTGCAGCATAAACGTGCCCCAGGTGACCTGCAAAGATTTATTTGCATAATAACAAGCGAAGGGTGGTGCAGGAAAATAGAGTTCTCCATCTCCTTTTTTTTTTTGCATAAAGTTGGTTGTTAACATGTGGGATCCGAACCTCAGCGAGTATAAATCAGCATAGCTGGCATGGTCTGGCCGGCGATTTTTGGTTGGGCCTGATTCTGATCTCACACCAGTTTTCCACTAAGGTAACTCCATTGACATCAGTGGAGTTACTTCTGATTTACAGCAGGTTAAAGGAGAAAAGAATCAGGCCCCCACGTTCCTTGTCAAAAAAATCCTTCCCAGAGGAGCAAAAGGCCATTATTGCCATGGAGAGGGGGCAGTGGAAGGAACCAAAGAAGCACGGGGGAAGGTTACAAAACTAAGGAACAGTCCAACGGTGAGGAAAGAGCCCATGGAGAAGCAGAACAAGGGTATACAAAGGGCTGTGCTACGCTCTGGCCTGCACACCTGAGAGTGATTCGAGGGATCACGGTTCTGTGCCCAGCCATGCCCCGTCTCACTGCAGGATCTAGAGCAAGTCACTTTTCCCTCTCTGTGCCTCAATCTTTCCATCTGTAAAATAGGTCAGTATCATGTCCCCCATCTAGGGTATTTTAATATAAAGCAACATTCTGACACCCCAGAGGGAAATAACTAAGTACGTGGAATAGGTTACCTGGAAGGGGGCTGAAACAAGAACATGGGGCAGAACCTGAGCTGGGGTAAATCGGTGTAGCTCTGGTGAAGTAAATGGAGCTCTGCTTATTTTACCCAGCTGAGGAGCTGTCCCGTGGTATATAAATAAGTTCAGCAGATGGCTGGGTTAGCCTCAGCAGATGGAGACGATCGAGGGGTAGGGAGAAAAGGCAGGACAGTGCGAATCAGGAAGACCCCCAAGTGGTTAACTCTTGAAAGACTCCGGGATTACAATAAAGTCACAGCAGAGATGTCGAGAGAACCCCCCCAAGCAGGCTGTTAACTCTCAGCACGGCCAGGGATGCACTCTGCAAGGGTATATAACAGGAACACAAGGATCACACTAAGACTGGATCACACCCAAGGTTCATCGGGGCCAGTATCTGTCCCTGACTGTAACCAGAACCAGATGCTTCAGGGGAAGGTCCAGGAAATGCTAGAGGAGGCACGTATAGGATCATCTCCCCCATGAAGGTCTCATTCCAACCCCATTAGCTAGAGATTGGCTTACACGCTGAATCCCCTGGGCTAACACCTTTTCCAAAATTTGTGTTCGTATTAACTACCCGAGTTCTGGACACATCCCTCCCCATTGTCTGGCCAACCCTGATTTATGGACTGCCACCACAGTCACATAGCCAGTGGTCGCAACCCATCCTGCACCTAAAGGACCAAGCTGGCAGGCGAGGTGGAGCACATGTGTTAGGTCAGATCCCTGCCCGCAATTCCACGGCCTCCTTCCCGGCATGTCCCAGTCCTTTCACCCTCCCCGTTCTGCTGTGGGTCATGGATCTGGAGCAGAGAGGAGAATCCCTTGGCTCCCATTCTCCCTTGCCCCATTACCTTGCTACTTCTTTACACCAGCGTAGAGGGGATGTGAGATGTGACCACCCAGAGGCGGTCGCATTACACCGGTGTGAATGCCTGCACCTAGTGCAATGCAGGACAGAAGGAGAGCCTCCCTCTCGACGGTCAGTAACTGCCCAGCTGAGAACATGCCCCCCCATTTCCCTTCCCCAAAACCTTCCTCTCATTTTGCCTGCTTATTTGTCAAAAACATAACAACACTCCTTCCTTCTCTCTGGGCTGTCCAGCGTAGCCGCACGCTGGGAATGTCACAGACAAATCACTGCAGCCCGGGTAATCCAGGTGAATCTTACCTAGCTCCACGCACACAAGGCCAGCCAGCAGGACAGCCAGAAGCGCCTTCATCCTGAGCAGACCCTCAGCCTGGGCGGCCAAGAAGACCAAGAGCTGCTTGTTCTACTCTTCCCCTCTGCAGGTGATTTCCCCGTCCTCGGCTGGTTCTGATTAGAGCCTTCCCCAGACCTGTCCTGGAACAAGTTCCTTGAGTGATCTCATCGCAGCAGGGCCCCGCCCCCTTCCTCCTCCACCCCTGCACATCCTGAAGCTCTCCAGGGCTGAAAATAGCAGGACAGAGGGGTTATGGTCAGGGATCCTTGCATTGGTTGGGGGGGGGGTTGTACCCTCCCCATCAAACAAGAGCAGGGGGGTTCATACAGCTCATCCCCCTGCACCGGAGGGACTCTTCGTGCCAGCTCCTTGTGCCACACTGATGCCCCTCACTGACCCTCTTTGCTTTCGCAGGCAACTGGGAGTCCCTGAGGAATAATGGCCTTGGACGAAACCGTCTTTAGAAGCTCTGGGCGGCAGAGAGTGAAGTGGCACCAGGGAAGTGAAGCAAGTCCGACAGCATGGACGGTCCTGCAGTCAGACTGCTAGGCTGGGACGTGGGCGACCTGCACTCTGCCACAGACTTCCTGTGTGACCTTGGGTGGGTCACTTAGCCTCTCTGTGTCTCAGTTCCCCCTCTGTACATTGGGGGGGGGGCACTGCTGCTCCTTGCCCCCTCCCCCTGTCGGAATGGGAGCTCTTTGAGGCCGGGCTGCCAGCCACTCTGTGTTTGTACCACCCTGAGCAATGGCAGGTGCTCCTGGAATGCAAGTTACGATGTTCTTTGCTCTCTCTTTCCCTGTTTGCTGTACATTGGCCTCCATTAATCCAATCCTAGCAGTGACAGGTTGGCAACTCCTCTTCCCCTCAGCAGCCTCCAGGCCTGGAAGAGTTTCTTTGCCCGTTCTGCCCTTCTCCAGGCCCCACTGCTCTCAGACTCGGCCAGCCTTCCACTCCAGGGCTGTCTAGGTCCTGATATGGCCCCTCCCCTCCGCACCCCCCACAGGCTACAGAGCAGGAACTGAGGCATGGCCAACAAAGGGACTCACCTGAGCATTAAGCTCAAATCACCTGATTCCCAATCCTGGGCCTTGACCACCGGCCCATCAGGAAACTAACCTCTTCCCGCCTCCGCCCTTGCCTGGTGCAAGCCCTCGTGTGGTAGGGCACAGCTGGTCACCCTGCTCTGAGCAAGCCTAGGTAATAATCATAGAGGTCACGGTGATGAGGAAAGAACAGGGACAGTCCACACTAGCTTTCCGACCGCTGCTACCGGAGCTGCATCAATGCAACAGCCAGAGGATGGATCTGCTTGGGATCCATCTGGGGAGAGTCTTCTGGGATTTGCTAAGCTGCAGGGGATGTGCTGGGATCCTGGCCTGTTTACCCAGAAGCGGAATTGTGGAGGAGCTGCACCGTGGCCCAGAATCTTCCTGGCTATTCGAAGTCCAAGGGAACACGAGAGTTTTTAAAGACGACACTATTGATAGTGATTATAATGATAGGAAACGGTTGTGGAATGGATCGATGGGGGTCACGGCAGCCAACAGTTTAGGAGCTACTAGCCTCGGGCTCCAGCCTCGTACGTAATCAGTCTGTCGCACAGTGAGTCTATTGTATTTTTAATAACAAGGAAAGAAGCATTAAAGATCTGCTCTCCTGGGCTTGGTTGTAGTGACCGGGAGCAAAGCTGAGGTTGCCATGGGAGGCAGAGTTTCAGAACATCTTGGCAGGTTGTGTTGGGACTTGGTGTTCTCCACCCTCCCTTCCTGCTCAGCGAAGACATTTTCACATGAGCGAGCAAAAGCTGGGTGTGAGGGACGCACGGCTCAGCTGGGTGGGAGGCCTTCGTCATCGCCTGCCCGCTGGCTAATGGACCAGATAACAGGGCGTGCCAGCTTTATTTAGAACTGGGGTGTCGTCCTGGGACACGGCTGCACCCAGCTGTTCTCTCAGAGGACAAGACAACAGCTGCTTTGTCGTGTGTGCATGGGTTCTCCACTCATCCCCCGTCACTGAACTGGACCCGAGGCGAACCAGCACCAAAGAAGCTTGACCAACAATCCTTCTAAGCCACCTTCAGTCGGTTTCCACTCTGGGCTCCCCAATTCCACCCCCTCCGACTGCCAGAGATGGGCTGCCTCCCTGCCGCTTGTTTTGCTACCATCCAGCTCCCTCCTGCCACCCTATTCTGGACCTTCATCCCATGCCCTGACGGCCTGCTAGGCGTCCACGCAAAGCATTAGTCACTGGCTCTCCCACTCTTAATGGTGATTATTGGGGTGCCTTTGACTCTTTGCTGGGCCCAGGTGCCTGCACCGTTAGGGCCGGATTCTCAGCTGGAAATAAATGTTGCTCCCTTTACTTTAGCAGACCCATGCGGATTCACCCCGCCGAGGATCAGGCCCTTACTTTCTGTGTGCTCAATGGAGCTGCACCGAGCCAGAAAGGCATGACTTTAGGTGAGATGAGTCTGGTGGGTCTCTCCCCTTGGTACCTGTTGGACGTTTCTCCATATTAGTTTCTTCAGCCCAATAGCTTCATCTGGGGAGATCATAGAATCATAGACTTCAAGGTCAGAAGGGACCATTATGATCATCTAGTCTGACCTCCTGCACAACGCAGGCCACAGAATCTCACCCACCCACTCCTGTATCAAACCTATGTCTGAGCCATTGAAGTCCTCAAATCAAGGTTTAAAGACTTCAAGGTGCAGAGAATCCTCCAGCAAGTGACCTGTGCCCCACGCTGCAGAGGAAGGTGAAACCCCCCCAGGGCCTTTGCCAATCTGCCCTGGAAGAAAATTCCTTCCCGACCCCAAATATGGCGATCAGCTAAACCAGATGCCTGAAACTACAGCAGCAGGTGGGAGTGGAGATCAGAAAGGGGGTGACTGGCAAAGGGAAAGAGAGGAAGGATGGTTCGGTGGTTAGGGATCAAGTCCCTGCTCTAACAGTATGATTCTATGACACTATGACCTTCGGTATAATACATAGAACATCCCCAAAAGAATTCCTAGCACAGATCTTTAAAAAAACCATCCAATCTTGATGTTAAAATTGCCAGTGATGGAGAATCCACCATGATCCTTTACAAATTGTTCCAATGGATAATTACTCTCACTGTCAAAAATGTATGCCTTATTTCCAGTCTGAATTTGTCTCACTTCAACTTCCAGCCATTGGATAATGTCACTCCCTTCTCTGCTAGATTAAAGAGCGCATTATTAAATATTTGTTCCCATATAGCCATTTACGAACCGTTTCTTTGTTAAGCTAAGAAGATTGAACTCTTTGGGTCAATCACCATAAGGCACGTGTTCTAATCCTTTAATCATTCTCACGGCTCTTCTCTGAACTCTCTGCAATTTATCAACATCCTTCTTAATTGTGGGCATCAGAACTGGACACAGGATTCCAGTATTCCAGCGGTCGCACGAGTGCCAAATACAGAGTTAAAATAGCTTCTCTACTCGTACTTGAAATTCCCCTGTTTCTGCATCCAAGGATTGTATTAGTTCCTTTGGCCACAACTGACTATCCATCACAACCCCCAAATCTTTTCCAGAGTCACTGCTTCCCAGGGTAGAGTCCCCCATCGTGTAGGTATGGCCAATATTCTTTGTTCTTCGACATATGCAATTACAGTTAGCCATATTAAAACTCATAGTAAACAAGATTTCTGCAAGCCACTCTCAGCCCATTGTAGCTCCATGAAACTCACCGAACAGGCTTGGTGGGCAGTTTTAGAAGAACTACTAGCATAACCAAGGTGATAATTCCCTGGGGGCCAAGGTACCACTAAAGCCACATTTAAAGCCATGATAGGTTGCGCACTGGATTTTATTCAAGCCTGCACAGAGGTAACTTACCCTCAGGGCCCCATTCACATCCAGCTCATGCTTAGAGGTGTTTGTATCTGAAAATGGATTGTTGTTGATAGTACGGCTGGGACAACCCAGCTCCAGAACCATGTTCCATGTGCAGAATGCACTGGCACAGTTAGTTATAACAAGGGCGGTCCCGATAGCTAGGGTCTTGCTCTATGTTTCTGATACTGTCTAGGACAGTAAAAAGAATAAGTAGTCCTTGTGGCACCTTAGAGACAAACAAATGTATTTGCGCATAAGCTTTCGTGGGCCAGAACCCACTTCATCAGATGCATGCAGTGGATGGGTCATTACACAAAGTAAAAACTATTTCCCCATGCTAATTCCCCCCCCCCCTCCCCACTGTTACTCACATCTTCTTGTCAACTGCTGGAAATGGGCCATCCTGATTATCACTACAAAAGATTTTTTTCTCCTGCTGATAATAGCCCACCTTAATTGATTATTCTCATGATAGTTGGTAAGTTTCATGTTCTCTGTGTATATATAGCTTCCTACTGTATTTTCCACTGCATGCATCCAATGAAGTGGGTTTTAGCCCACGAAAGCTTATGCTCAAATAAATTTGTTAGTCTCTAAGGTGCCACAAGTACTCCTGTTCTTTTGCTGATACAGACTAACACGGTTACCACTCTGAAACCTGTCTAGGACAGTGGTTTTCAACCTGTGGACTGCAGAGCCCTCGGGGTCCGCAGAATATGTCTAAGATTTCCAAAGAGGTCCGCACCTCCATTTGAAATTTTTTCGGGGTCTGCAAATGAACAGAGGTGGCAGAGCTCTCTGCACTGCGTACCACACTGTTTCAGCAATTTGTTTGACCGAACTGCTGCTGACCGCAATTTTTTCATAGGGACTGTTATGATCATCTAGGCCTAGTCTGCCCTCCTGTATAAAACAGGCCAGACAGTTTCCCCCAGTGATTCCTGCCAGGGAGGAGATTATTCCTTCCTAAGTGACACTGTCAGGGGTGACGGATTCTTCTTAAAAGTGGGGGGCCACGAGGCCCAGCCCTCTCTGTGGCCCCACCGCTGCCATTGTTCAGAGCGGTACAAACACAGGCAGCCCGGCTTCAAAGAGCTCCCAGTCTGAATAAACAAGACAGGGGAGGGGGCAAGGAGCAGCAGTGCCCCGTCCCTTCCCCCCGAGGCCCTGCCCACTGGCCAAGCCAGAAGCCGGAGCTGGGCCAGGGAGCCCGAGCCCCTCCACCTGCCTGGGATGGGGGGCCCAAAAGCAGCCCCCGGCCCATGTCCCCACCCCCTCGGCCCCGCCGCCAAGGGCAGGTGGAGGATCCACGGCTCCCCACAGCTGCCCGGGCTCCCCAGGCCGCTTTTACCCGCAATCCAGCCTGGCCGGGGGCAGGGCGTCGGGGGGAAGAGGAGGGGCAGGTGGTCAGGCCCGTGGCGAAAAATGGACAGGCCAGGCACATCCACTTTAAAAAGTGGGAGGGCCAGGGCCTTGGCCCCGCCGTTCCGGCGCACCCAGACGCTGTGGCTCCCAGGAGCTGGTTGTTGAACTGGATAGGGTTACCATATTTTGTGCCTCCGAAAGGAGGACACTCCACGGGGCCCCGGCCCCGCCCCCAGCCCCGCCCACGCCCCAACTCCGCCCCTTCCCCAAAGTCTCCGCCCCCTCCC